AATCGGAAATCATTAAAACCTGCCAAACTATATACAACTACACCCCCCTTATGTATGTGTGTATGTGTTAATGCGATTTAAGCATGATATATACATATTATGAATAATAAAAAAAACAAATTGAAAGAAAATGAAAATACCATAGATACTTCAGATACGGCACTGATAGTTGTTATGTGAGCAGTGATATTGACTTCTATTGGTGGACCTGGAAAAAAAAAGATGGATGAAAAAAAAAACAAATTTCAAAAAAACGATATAACAACAATCTAGGCAATGTGAAAAATATATCCAGCTAGGCTTTGATGATAGTATATTAATTCATGCAAATAACCGTGCTAGAATGGATTAAAAAAACAAACTAAACGCAGAGAGGGAGAGAGAGAGAGATGGAGAAGGAGGTAGAAGTGAGTGGGGGGGGGGAGGCAAAACGATGAAACAGTAAACACTCATTTTGTGATTTTGATATTTTTTTCCAATATTAAAGTATTATAATCTCATAGTTGAATTGAAAAGTTGGAAAACGCTCATCTGTTATGCTATTTGCTGTTTGCGATCCTTTTTTCTCGTTTTTTTTTCAGTTTTTTTTACAAAGCTGGACTGTCACAAATTCTTTGGAAATAAACATATAAAAATATATACTGGGTGCACACAAAATCCCCTATGGACTGCTACTATCACCAAGTCAGATGGACAGCATCATACAATGAAAACAGCTCTATCAATAAGCGTTTTACTCCCTTCAACAAAAGGCTACCAAGTTCCGACTACTACGACTACTTGCGAGCCCTTCAAATCTTTCCTCACAACTGAACTGTGTGTTTGCGAACTTTCATTTGAGAAGAGAAAGAGAGAGAGAGAGAAAGACAAAAACAGAACATTTTGATTCAATTGGCAAGGCAAGAAAAATCTTCAAATTGAGGTATAATTTCGATACCTTCCCTCATTTAATCCTAATTTTGAAAAACAACATAGTAGAAAAGCTATTTCCAATAAGCATTCCTAACAAATCAACTATGCAATTATCTCAATTTGAAAAAGCTGCTGTTTTTATCATTGGCGCTGGCTGGGAGACGGTTTCGTGTCTACTTAATGAGCTCCATGAGAGAAAAAAACATATGATAAGCGAAGCGAACGAGGAAGAAGATTAAGTGAGAATGCTATGAGAGGGAACGCAGGCTAGCCGTTCATCATTTAAACTCTAGAGCTAGTCCCTTATGAGTATTGGCGCTTCTTTATGATTTCATGCATTTCTAAAGAAACTAGCGCTTAGGATTAGATCTGATTCATTTATCCTCTAACTTCCTTTTTTTGCAACACAATCAAAAAACCGGATGGTCACCTGGTGCGAGAGTTTACGTCAACGTTTATCACAACAGAACACAAAGAGAAGTAATGTCGCATTCAACGTTTCCGGTTCAAAAATTGAGAAAAAAGACTATACAGAAGCATTGAATGCATGCCATGAGGTACCCCGCATGAAAGGAAAATAAGCCTCCAATTTCTTGTGCACAAACAATTAAAAAATAACATACCTCCGTAATTAGGACGTATTCGACGATCGTGACTGGCCACCAACTTGTCTAATAATTTGCTGACATTATTTTCTATCTTCGTGTTGAGAGTTGTTTCCTTGTCACTGAAAAAAAAAATAGCTCTCGTAAGCATTAACAGACTCTGTATATCTCATCACGTTCTATGCTCACTGAACTTTGAGAAAATTGGGAGCCAAAAATTATCTGACGTCTCAGCTTAATCAAGAGAAGCCATAGAAAGTCTTATCGCTACTCGGAGTAAACCTTCTTTAAGCCTTATGACAACGGAAATGAATAGCTAACTTTGCCCTCTACATAGTTTATTCGCTTCAAATTCATTTTGTATTCAAACTTTCAAGCGTTATAACTTGTAATAGCTGGTTGGAACGATTAGTTGAAGTACTACTCAGCATCGAATAAAAACCAAGGGTGTATCAGAACGATTTCAAGAAGTTAGCCACTACTTCCTAGTTGGACTAAAGGAAATGAGAAGAAAAAAATGAAAAAGAAATAGGTAAGGTTCATCTCGATTAATAGGAAGACTAGTCGGTGAAAATCAAAGATTAGCAAATCAAGACATCATGAGAAAGCTTACAAATCAATTTGCCGTCTTTGAAAAAAAACAAAAGCATTATACTGCCACCATATTAAGAAGCAAGTTTATAAAGTTTCAAAACAGGTGTTATGCTTAGAATTGAACTCAAATTTAAGGAAGATGCAAAACAGGGAAATGAGATGCGTAAACAGATTGATGAATGAGCGAGCTAAGGGGGTACACAAAGATAATGAAAGAAAATAGCTGTCAACTTACTTTTCGGACTCGATTTGTGGTGGCAGCTCATATTCGATTTCCTTATCTGTTTTCATCATCTAAATGAGTATATTAGCGTTTTGTATTGAGATTCTAGGAAGGCACACCGGTGGATGTTCTGCCGTTATACTGATCAGTAGAGAAATATAAATTACAGCCGTTAGCAACATGACGTGCCTCAGTGTGGGGGACGGACGGTAACGTCCACCGTCAGACTTTTCCTACTATCAGTTTGGCTGAAATAAAAACATTGATGAATATTAAGAATAAAATTGAGACTGTTAGTAGAAAAACAGCATGAAAAGGCTAACACCAAATCAATCATAATATATAATTCCAATAAAAAAGAAAGAAGTGATTATAAAAAACGACAAAATGATTGAAGATAGCAAGATGAGACACACAAACTGCTAAGAGTATGACAACAGAGCCAATGCTGCTCTTTTTTTTTCCTGGATGTCTGTTTCCTTTCTTTCAGGGGCGTGGTTATAGAAAAACGAGCACATATGGGCGTGGCATGGTTAGCGGATTTAGCCGAATGGCTCAGATGAAGCTATGAAAGAATAGTTGAAAGACTAGTGAGAGAAGGCAATTAATAAGGGACAATTCAAGATAAAAGGGATGCTTTATTTCAAAGGAAAGAATATAATAATATCTCGAAACCTAATACTTGAGCAAGAAGATGAGTCTTGATTATAGTACATGCGTCAAAAATATTGAAAAAAGAAATGTTCAAATAGCTCACATATAATTATGGATACAAGTCTCAAAGATATTCAAATAAACATACCATGGGGGAGATTGAAGATCAACGACCAGCTCATTGCCTAGACAGTGAAGTGAAATGATTTAGTCCACGTGATCCAGATGATGATGATGATGATGATGATGTTAAAGACAGCTCGACCACGTGTCACGTGTCACGTACGTGAACTTATCTGAATAAATATTTATAAAACGCAAATTGGAACTGAAAATAATGAAGATGAAGATAAGAGGAAAAAGGAAAAAAACAAAGTTTCAGCAAAATCCTTAAATTATTGAAACGAATTCAAATATGATGTGATGATGATGATGATGATGATGGTGGTGGTGGCGGCGTTGGCGGCAATGTTGCAAATATCACATTAAGTCTGTTTGCGTAAAAAAACCTAATAATGTATCTTTTTTTTGCGCTAAAATGTGAGTCAAACAAATAAAATTAATTTTTTTCTTTGTTTTGATTACCATACATTCTTTGGATCAAACTAATTTTCATAAATTCATCCACTGAATTTATAATATACATACATAGAATTTATAATGCACTCTTCTTTGTGACGCGTTTAGCATTGGTTTACAAATTCCTGAGATCATGAATCAGATTTACAGATTTTTGAAAATTCAATTCAAAAGAAGATACTTGAAAACATTTAAAAAGCATCTTTGTACCATTTATATCTCACAATCAAACATGATTTGAAGTTTGTAACGGAGTAGCCATGCCGTAGACATTCCAAATACATTCTGTGCTCTTCAAGTGGTCCAGTTCAATTTCTTAATCTTATAATCACAAGTGCATTCGAATTCAATTATCTTTCTCAAAAACGTTGCAGTGCTTGCTTAATTCTTACTTCTTCGAAATACCAAGCCTAACAAACTTCTCAAACTTTTCTTGCAGCACACGACCAGATGATTCGAAAAGAATAATTATCTCCACGCTGCAATTATCTCGCAAACGGTGGTAACAAAGCACCCAAACACTTTATGAAAAGGGGGATGACGAGATTTCAAACAAAGACAAAAGTACAATATTTCAGGTGAATGACTTTACTTCCATTCACATCAAACATCACTTTTCAAAGCTTTCAAAGCGTTTCATAGCGTTTCACGAAGTTTTCATATTTGCAAGAAATTTAACCTTTTCCTGACGCTCTGATTAATTGCAATCTTTATTGCCGTTTATGATTGCATGGATCGCATTACATTCATTCGTACGCTGCAAAGGAAACTCGATCCTGAACAGAATTGTTCTTCGACAAAGCTTTTACAGTGAAAACTTGTACCCGCAAAGTGCATTCTCTCATATTAGGGACATTTATAATACTTTGCAGACCATTAATGCGCACGGATGGCCGAGCGGTCTAAGGCGCCAGACTCAAGATAGTTCTTGCCCAGAGTATTGGGATGAGTGTTCTGGTCCTCGAATGAGGGCGTGGGTTCAAATCCCACTCCGTGCAGATACTTTTGATCTTTTATCAAATGTTTTTTCACAACTGATAAACAATTATCAGTCATTTGTTTGATAACTCTTGTTTAACAAGTTAATCTTCGCCCACGCAAGTACTGTTCAAACTTGTTGTTTTCACTTGAACTTGAATAGTTCACATTACTCAGCGTAAAAATTTATTCTAAGGTATTATGCGATATATATGACAAAGGATGGGAAAGGCAAGTTTATAAGTGAGGTAAAGCCGTAACCGGAAAATATTAATTAAGCTCCCGTGAATCAAATAAACCGTAATTCTAATTATGGGAGCGGCAACATGAAAGTTAGGATTAGAAAGTTGCACTGAAAACAATCACAAAAGGATATAAACTCACCGCGTCCGTTTACACGGATAATAAATAATATAATATATTAGATTATGCTTTGCAGTATTATGCTCTTCTTATTAGAGAGAGGAGTAGTTCGCCAACCGTAGGAAAGTCTCTTCCAAAGACGATTGCGCCAGACAGAAGTCTTTTGCTTGAACAGAGTCAGCTAATTCTTGACACTTTTTGAAAATAGATGACCATCGATCATTCGGCATCCGAGCAATCTAAAGTAGTTTTGTAACTTCAACGAAACTGAGAATATCAGAACAAACCTGCCATTTCATAGTTAACGATGCACTATTCGCATGCGTTTTCAGTGTAGATTGTGGGAATTCAGAATTTACTTTTCCAATTATTATTCCCTTTTTATCTGAGGCTGGAGCTACGATTGTGAGGGTATAATTATTACCGAATCTGCAAAAAAATGTTTCAATTGATGACCTCCGATGATTGGAAACCTTGACTTCAAATGTTGACTAGTTCCAATGGCAATCATTCTTCCTTCTCGCAGGACTGCTATTCTGTTGCATAAGGCCTCACATTCATCCATACTGTGTGAAGTTAGAACCATGGCAGATTCTTTCAAATTGCGAACGACAGAAAGAACATCCCAGATATCTCTTCGTGCCTGGATTATCAGAGAAAAATTTTATTGATCGAATTAAAGGAGCTCACCTTAGGGTCTATTCCTGCCGTAGGCTCATCCAGAATTACCATTCGAGTCGATGCCATCAGCGCTAATCCAATGCTCAACTTCCTTCTTTGACCACCACTGCAGTCATGACATGAAAACCTCTCATGAAAGTATGTAAGTTACCTGTAAAACCGTGCCAGCTTATCACCATGTTCCTTCAAGTCTACAGCTCTAAGTACAACATCAGCTTTCATGGAGGGGTTACTGAACCCATAGAGTTTGGCGAGTATCTGAAAGTACTTATGAGTTAATGAGATTCCGCAATATCATGTTACCACTAGGGTCTCTCTTCCTGTTAGATCCATGAGTACGGCATCAAATTGAGGACAATATCCGATAGCCTAATCAAAACAACGTCAGAAAGGAAAAGAAGCCGAAAACACACAATTTGTTCCGAAACATCACGATTGTCTATCTTGGCTGTTCCAGACGATGGGAAAGAGATACCCGTGAGAATATTGAAAGTTGTTGTTTTTCCTGCTCCATTGACCCCCAACAATCCGAAACACTCTCCATTGGAAACACCTAATGACAGATGATCTAGTGCTCGGAATCCACCATAATACTTAGTCAAGTCCTGAATGACGACTATCATTATGCATACAAAAAGGGTATGAAACCTTGACTTCCATAGCAAGTTCATCTCGTCTCACTAAGTCGTCTATTTTGTTCCGCTCTCTCGCAACGTCTTCATCTTCTTCTTCCGGTTCCTAAAATATTGTTGAGAATTCTGTCGAAATGCGAGAGCAAACTTGTTCGATTCTTCTAAGACCCGACCGAATTTCCCATATCCGGAAGAAGCTGAGACGGACAGATTTGAATTGGAAGGCAAGGAATGTTATCGAGGATAATAGACCAAAAAATATCATGAACACGTAGTTACGACCTAAACAGAATACTCGTGCGATGCTGCTTCAAAGTTTTATTTACCCAAATTGTTCCACTCCCAGACTAGAGCAGGATCCACATGTTTCGCAGACAGAGATCCTAGAGCCATGAATCCATTGCCCAAAGCAAATGAAGGAAGTAGGAATATCAACAACGACTGAAAGCAGAATTAATTTCGAAGACGAAAAACGAAAACAACTCACCATTATGACATTCATCATGTCGGTACTAATGGGAGAATTGGGTAGTAACGAGAGCGTGAACACCATGAGCATAGCTGGAAAGATATGATGGGTGGGTACTTTGGCCAACTTCGTATACCTGATAGAGTTGCGAAAAGTTGCCAGATTATTAAGGATATATTAGCCTTGGAAGGAGACGACATTATGAAGGAAACGGCATAAACAAACGGAACGCAAGCCCAGAAATATAAAATCCACATCATCACGACGCTGAAAAAAATTTTAAAATTGAAGAACACGAGTACGAAACTAACTGAATAATATATCCTTCCATCCATCCGTATGTTATGAACATACACGTGAATACAGTGCACATTATAGCATATAATACAGTGTCATAAATGAATGAGAACCCCCAGAAGGCGGCAGGAGAAATTCCAGTTAAACTCTGTTGGTGAGCGAATTTACAAACGCGCTCTTCAACCAGAAACATGACAACTGAAGAAGTTACCAACGACAGGGCAAACACGATAACAGGGGCTAGAAGGATATCTTCTCCTTCATTCAAGTTGGAAGTATCAGCATATTTTCCATATGTCGAAACCGAAACACCAATGGAGCCTTCAATACGAAAAAAGATAAGAACAGTATCCACAAACCAGCGTTACCAATGCCATTTGTGAATGTATGTAAGTAAGCATTATGGAGTAAGTTGATGGCAGCTGATATAGAATGTGGAGATTTGGCGTTAAAGAAAATCTGAAAACATACTGGATTATCTGAAAAAACCCACACGATTACCTTGGCATCTTCTTCATTCAAATGTGCTCCAAAACCAATAGGTGGAACAGTTTTTGGAAGACGAAGAAGAGTGAGTGTGTCATTAACATCATCAGGCACTTGATGCAAGAGAAGATCGCCAGCGTTTATAACAAGTCGCCTGTATTCATCAACTAATTCGTCATTGTTTGAACCTAGGAGAATAACTCTAGCTGGTCCAATACTGTTGTAAGAGAGATCTCTTTCTAAAAAAAAAACAATTTTTTGCTATTTTTTCGTCCAGGAAATTGTTTACCACCGAAAACAGTGTTAAAGTTGTGGGTAGTCATAAAACGTGTTCCAAGTAATATCAATATTGGTAGAACAAACTTAATGAAATGTGTGAGTCATCGTTTTTTGTTTTTCTTTACCTGAATTAAGAGTTGCAGCCAGTGTCTATGAGAGTACAGTATTCTTTTTTTAATAATAGCTCTAAACTGAGAGAATATTAAAGCCACTCCATGTAACCGCGGATCTTAACAAATCGTTGAGAAAAATTTAGTTTCATTACATACCTCTCTGACTCTCTACTAGTTTTTCATACAACTGCTTAACACTTTCATCATTGCTACTCTTTTCTGTTTCTTCTCCCACTTTCAAGAAAACCTAGAACAGTTAGTTGAACTGAACGGCGAGACTAGATGCGATACCTGTTCTAAAGTCGTCATAGATAATCCGAAGCTACTGATTCCCCACATCGATTGATTATTCTCTAATGATTGGAAAAATAGAGGGAAGCTAGAAACACAACGATTTCGAAAAAAATCATTTTGAAAAAGGTACTTCGTCTGGGATTCTAAAGGTAAAGTGAACTCGAGCTGACTTCCATGACTCTGGCTACAGGCGGCTTTGAATATACTGCAGTCGGAAGCTGCTTGTAGAATTTTTTCTTTCGTCAAATCCACATTGGTTAATTCATCAGTCACGACAGTCATAACATAACCCACTCCATACCTATTTTTAAACATTTCTCTAAAAAGTAAAGTGAAATTATATACTTCTTGGTAAGGAATCCTGGAGAGCCGCTACATACAATTTTTCCTTTTGACATAATGAATACTCTGTCCCCTAATAACTCAGCTTCATCCATATAGTGGGTAGTCAATAGAACAGATCTGGAGAGTAAAAAATCATAAACCCGATCCTTTAGGAATGTTTCTCACTTGTCCTTTTTAATTTTTTGGAGGATGTTTTCAACATCTCGACGTGCTCCGGGATCCATACCAGCAGTTGGCTCATCCAGTAAAACAACTTCACTGCCTCCAATCAAAGCCATGCACACACACAACTTCCTTTTCATACCGCCAGATAAATTTCTCGACAACTTTACAAAAATTATTTGAATTTGTGTATTTGATAGTACCTCATGAGCTTTTTCAGAAAGTTTAATTTCGTCAAGCAACTGTTTACTTTCAACCTTATAATCAGTTCTGGCACCCTTTAGTCCATGTATGAGCCATAGATGTTCCATAACTGTGAGTTTCTCAAACAGTGGATTACCCTTCGAGGGAAAAAATTAAGAGAATATGGGATAGTATTACATACTTGTGGACACAAGCCTAAGTTTCGTCTCGATGTGTGGAAGTCAGCATTGGCTCCACAAATCGAAATACTACCGGCTGTTGGCGAAACAAGCCCACAAATCATAGAAAACGTAGTACTTTTACCAGCTCCATTATGGCCTAGTAGAACAGTAACCTATAAAGCAAGAACTAACACCAGCATTATCTAATGAACACACTTGACCAGCGTAAGTTTTCAATGAAATGTTATCCACAGCAACTTCACCAGTTCTATACCATCGTTTTTTAAGAAAATCCACAGAAATTTTTTCAATTCCATCGGTGAGTAAGCCAGTATCAACTTCATTTGCGTCTGAATTCGTATCACGCCCACCATCTATGTTATCAGTCTAAATGAAACATTTTTATTATCTAATAAATTATTTCTATTTACGGATCTGTTAGAATGGAACATGAATGAGAAATCGCCCCCCGCTAGTAGTTTATCAAAAACCAGCGTCAGTACAGACATCCATATAATATCAACGATGATCATGATTATTCCGAACCCAACTGTGAACCAATGATGACCACCAACAAAGATATTATGCCAACCAAGATATTCACCTGTGATAATTCTCGTTTTCACCAAAGCTGTTAAGAAAGAAACCTCGAGTTAAGAAGTCGTTCATCCCATTGATAGTCATTGAAAACGCGCCATTGATGTTCAAGGAGAAAAAGAAGCTTCGCATGATCATTTCTTTATTTGGGAGTTTATAAGCAAATCCAATTGAGAGCATCCAAACAAGGATGGTGACTGAAACAATCTCATACAGAACTAGTAGAAACTCATTAACGCACCTTTGATTGTTGAATTGCTGGTCTTGAACATTGAGGATATGAAAACTCCAAAAGTTACAACACCATATCCATAAACACAAACAACAAACAAAAACAGAGAATTTGAAATTTCCTTAAAATGTTAATAATTGTTTGAAATTTCGAAATAACAGTAGCTTACAGGGATGTTGCGAATGAGTGGGACAGCACACACCAGAAAGATGATTAGGCATTTTAAGTAATTGAAAAGAATATGCGACAAGTAGAACGCAGGTGTTGATAAACCCATAACAGATAAGAAATCCTATCGAGTAAACTATTTGCAACATATTCCTCATTTCACGAACCTTAATTTCTGTTTTCTCTTGTGCAGAATCTTTCGCAGCGTGTAAAACTATTAAAAATGACAAAAGTCCCCATAGGATCGGGAGGAATTTCAAGAAGTAACTCAACGTGCTTATGTAATAAGATGGTTCCGGCAGCCTTTCAAGATGCAACACAGGATCAAAAATAGTGACGTTTTGAGTAATCTTTAATCGGCTGATAAGTTTATCAAGTTTGGTAGTCTGACTTACTTTAATGAATGCCATATCTAATCTTTTCTGAAAACTTAAGAAGCCAGATTTCCAGTAAGGAGGATCCAATGGCATTCTGAGTTTATCAATCCAATTGCGAAATCAAATGTTAACATACTTGTAGAATTGATCAGCTTGACCATACTGTTCATCCCAATTGGTATCCAGCTTCCAATTATCTTGCTTTAACAAATTGTATTTAATAAAACAAAAGTATTATGCCTACAACTCCTCCAATATGGCTTGGGGTTATTATTTTATAATTTATAATAAAATCGTCTCTGTTCAACCTACTGAAATAAACACCGTTGACAAACCTAAACAATAAATAATTTGTTTTGTTCCGACATGGTTGAGTCACCTCTTAAATCGGCAAATACCCTGAATTTCCAAGTTGTCCATGAGAACATCTTGTAACTCCTTGAGACTATCAAATCTTGTAGCTTTAATTCTGAATCCTGATCCTTTGAAATGCTCTTCGAATTCTCTCATAATTTCATCAGCAAAATCGACCGACTCCTTGGTTCTAAATTCGTCCTCGTAATAAGTGTGATGTACTTTGAGAACATACGAGTAAGCTATTTCTACTTGTTCTCTTCTGCACCACGTGGAAAACATTGCCTGAGAGAAGCCTGCATTCTCTTTTGTATCTTTATCATTTCCACGAATTGTGAGCTCTCCGAAAGACAACTCAGGGGACATTGTTGAATTTTGATTCTGAGATAAGAAAATATTTCGAGCTAATAGATATGAATCTAACATTTAAAACTAATATAATGATGGGCAATGTGAATAAGATGGGTAGTACTAATTCGAAAAACGTCCATCCATAGTTTCTTGTCATAAGAATAGCATTTTTGAGGAACAAAAGGCTCAACTGTCCCATGTTTCGTCTATGTGGATCTGAAAACGTTAACTTATGGATTAATAAATATATTATTCCAGATACGTCTCGTATCTACTGTAGAAGAAGCAGATGAGCTACTGGTACTTATAAGATGTTCGTACAGTTCCCGATTCATTCAATAGTCTGAAATAAGGATGAGTTGTCTTTTTAATAGTTTTTAGATGGTGACAAGCAAAATGAAAATAATGATGTTCCGAAGTAGAGATTAAGTATTTCTTATCTTAGCGAACAACCAATCATTAACAATAAATAAGTTTAGGTTATTCAGAGTTCATAGTACATGTCAAAGGTCAACATCAGTAGCAAATAGTTTAAAATATCTTACCCAAAACTGATAATAACATCGCTGGAATGTTGAGCTCTGAAAAACAATCTGAAAATTTCTGCGTCGAGTTTTGAAGAGGGAAGTATGGAAATAGATTCAACTAGACATTAGAAGACTTGATATGAAAAAAATAATTTATTGGAATATTGGGTAAAAACAGTATTGATCAAACAACAACTTGCTGACCATCTCTTGATCCGAAGCACTAACCATGAGAGTTATTACAAGAGGAATCTGCCATAGGAATCTACATGCACATGCAAAAAAAATCACAGATAAACACTGCACATCACTATTATAACTTATATAAATTAAATATTACTAGAGATACATTAATAATTACTTATAATTATGGATAGAAAAAAAGATTCACGTTCCTAGATGGATTCCTCGAATATTAGTCAACAGTTTGAGGAGGAAGGAACGAATGAACCGAGGGTAGTAATAAATTAATTAATTACATGTAAGGACCACCGTTGGATCCCGGGAAAGGAGGTTGGATAGGATAGGATGGTTGCCCATACATTCCTGGTGCAGCTGGAGTTGATCCGTAAGCAGGCATTCCAGCACCATAGGTTAACATAAGCTGGGGTTCCACTAAAATTAAAAATGTATTACAATAGTGGCGTTAAAACATACTGGTGATTCCATTCTGCTGCTGGTTTTCTCTAGCTTCTTCCTTTCGTTCTGCATCAGCTCGTTCCAATCTCTCGATCTTAACAATATAATAGTTTAACGGTCCATTAATCAACTTCTTACTCTGGTATGGTAATCACGAAGAACTTGAACCATGTATGGCATAGCAAAGTCCATAATCTTATGTTTCCAGGCCAACTCAAGGATAACATCAGGATGGAGCAAGTCGTAACAATGATGGAGGGAAGCAGCAAAGCAATCGAAGAGTCTTTCTTCCAAGAAGAAAGAGATGAGCTCTTCAGCCAACTCTGCTGAGCGAGATTCAGCGGCATATTCCATGGCATCCTGAATTTCGAAAATTATCCATAAATTCCTGCCTCACACGAGTACCTTATAAAGCTTGTCTCTTTTGCAGAGCTCAATCGATTGTTTCCAACGATTGTTACCCTTGAAGAGGTAAGCAGAGATTCTGCGGAACTCGACCAAAGCATGCTTTTCAAGCTGTTGAGCCAAAGAAATGTTGTCGAAATTGTCATGACCGTCAATTGAAGCACGAAGACCAGTATAATCTTCTTCATCAATGAAGAGTTGATTAAGAGCCTCGTTGATGGCTTTGTTGTTCTGGTTCTGAACCTGACGAAGATATGGCTTGACAAGAGGAATATGATTCTCTGAAACAATAGATTATAACATTGCTGCGAAAAAAATACGTACGCTTGACGAAGAATTGAACAGTTCGAGAATGGTCCAGTCTTGGTGAAAGTACGCTGAGCAAATCATTGATCAACAAAGGCTTGAAGTCCAAATAGAATTGCATGGCTTTGTAGTACAATTCAACATTAGCGACTTTAGCAATAACTTCTTTGAAGTGTTGTTCTCTCCAAGCCTCAGTTGGATGTTGCATCATGGTAAGAGCAGCATTATCATACTCTTCATACTTATCATACAAGAATACCAACTCAGCCCACAAGTGAGCTTGCTCTGCAGCGCGTAACACCTAAATTCGAAATAAGAAATGATCATTTTCCTGCTAATACCTTAGGAATGTTAACACGACTCCAGAATAGCTCAAGATGCTCTCGCATTTTCTCGGGCTTATATTTGCTGTAAAGAATAGCTAGCTCGGTGAACATTCCCATATGAGCACGTTCAAGTCCCAAAGCAGCTTCTAACAGAGCTAAAAGATGATAGCGTAATTTCACAGATTCATGATCAACTTACAGATGAGCTCCTCGAAATGACCCCGATCTTGATAGAAATTATTAAGCTCTTCCAACTCGTCAGCATGAACAACGATATGAAGTCCACACATTTGAGCCAGACGGAACTCAGAGTTTTCAACACAGGCGAAACAGACTTGTTTCCAAGTCTTGGTGCTGTTAGCTTTACGAGCAGCATCAACGGCACCTTGGTATTCTCCTAATTTCACAAGAGTAACAGACAACTTGGCGAAGTTCGAGATGTTGTTGAACAAAATCTTTGCAGCTTCAAACATTCCATTGTCAAAGCATCTGTCTCCAATCTAGATTTGAATTGTATTAGAATATGATATATGGTTAGTTGCGAACCTGGGAAACTTGAGCGTGGTTAGGGCCAGCAATGAACTCTTCGAGCTCAGCAAGTCTTCCAGTCTTAGCTAAAGCGAAAACAAGCTCAGTCTCGATGTAAGACTCTCTAGACTTCTTTCTAGCCATTTGCAGGTAACGAACCAAATCTTCCCAATGTCCTGAATATCATAATTTTTCAACAAGCAAATCTTGAATTATTTTACCGGTCTGGGAACACTTATCGACAACCTCCATGTAAGCTCCTGGATCATCAGCCTTGATGAAGGAGTCAACAGCTTCTTTCACAAGATCCTGCCTCAATTGAGCCTTAGCTAAACTAGCCCATACATCAGATTGATTGCACTTCTCAGCAAATTCATAGGCACGGTCAAGGTTAGAAACGTTTTCGATGAGTACCTACATCAGAACCTATCAAACGCACGAATAGTATCTCACTTACATTAATAGCGCTATTGTTAACATCAAATTTCTTGAAAATGGCGAAAGCTTCCTCATAAAGTTCACTTGAGATTGCAATATTGGCGATATCGGGAGCATCGTAATTATCCAATTTTTGGATATATTCCATTACACGAGAACGATCAGCCTAAATAAGACATTTAACAGAATATTCACCGATTCTGAACCCACTCTAATAGCTGTGAGGATAAGAAGATTCTGGAGGTTTCTGTGCTCGGAGAACGCAGAGTTGTCCAGAACAATTTTTTCCAAAAGTTCAATAAGCTCGTTAGGCAAATCAGCTGCCATGAAGGCCTTAACAGTAGCGGAAATATCATCAGGATCCTGAGTCTCGGATAAAGCAGTTTGAACAACTTGGTCAATCAACTGGCGTCTATGCTGATTCTCCTCATTAAGAACTTGAGCCCACAACTCAAAGTCTCTTCTCTTGACAAGATATCTGGCTAGATTCTTGAAGAGAGAGTTCTCATTACAGACGTTGATAAGTTCAGCATCACATTGTCCTCGCTCATAAGCAAGGAAAGCGAAATGAGGATCGCGCTTCTCACAATACTTTCCTACAACCTTGCTGTCATAGTAAGGATTTTCTTTGAGGAATCTATCAGGGTTGTTGTTAGAATCAATGTAGATCTTGGCCATAGCGTTGTGAGTAGCAGGGTCAGTAGCTCCATCTTGAACACGAAGCTCGAGCCAATGAGAGAGGAGCTTCATTCTTGAATAGTATCATTATAAAGACGACAGTAAACTTAGAAAATTACCTGTTTCTCTTCTCAACTTCAGCGACAAGCTCGTCAATATCAAACTTGCCTCGGGTGTTAATGATAAGTTGCTTAATAGCATCTTCGCTACAATCAACATCAAGAAGAGCTCCAACAACAATTGGGAGACGAGCAGCATTGACCTATAAGAACAGAAGAATGAACAATAACAGAGCTAATTGATGTACCTTTTGTACGAAAACTTCAATATACTTTTGTAAACTGTTTCTATACAAGTAAAGTACAAGATCGTGAACCATATCATGACGATCGCAGACGATGATGAGTGGCAGCTAAAGTAGATTAATCATTTTGTTAGCTTTGTCTCGTTTCCTTACTTGATCGGTAAGTTTAGCTTCCTTAAGGAAATTCTTAACACGTTCAGGATCGTAACAGCTGGATTCACGGCAGATACGTTCAACCTCCTTGATTTGACCAGTACGGGTGGCAGCCTAGTTCATAAAACTATTGACACCAAGTCATTAAAGCTTACTTGAATGTATTTGAAGTGAACTTCTGGGTCCTGACTGAAGTTTACGATAGATCCCAAGAAGTAGAAAAGACCCTCGTAAGTCTTGTGAGTTTCAAACATATCGATGAGCTTATCGGTTCCGAGTTGTTCATGATACTTGGAAGCGATTTGAACGACAACCTTGAATAATATGGTAATTTAGAGCATAATCAAGAATTATACCTGAAGATTCTGACGAATATTCTGGGTTAGCATAGCCTTCAAGCACTCAAGAGAGTCATCAACAGACAAAGATCCGAAGTAGTTGACGATCCACTAAAATACATAAAATAAGATATATTTATCGAAATGTGAAACTGACGTCAAGTTGGAAGTGAGCAGTATGAACCACGGTTCTCTTGATGTCGTATAAATCGGTGAAATGCTCCAATGCTCTTTGAAGAAGTCCAGCTTTTTCGCACATTTGTCCGATTTGGGCTCTATCGTAATGATTGAACATCTTGTTACCCAAGATAGCGTCAGCCACCTTCAAATCAGTATATTAATAATAAATTACAAAAAAACACATACCTGTGGATGAGCTAACAAGTTCATCTCAAGTAAACGAGTTTGGAGGTGTCCTTCCTCTGGCTTGTCACCTTTCAATACTTCAAGAAGGAAAGAGGTGCAGGGTTGAACAGCTTGAACTTCCATGAAACAGTCAATAATCTAAAAACGTTTTTAATGAATCTACTTTGAAAATGAAATGTAAGTACTTGATTCAAATCTGCCAAAGGCTCTCCATTCTCTGACTCAGATACCAGCATTTGAGCAAATTTAGCCCCAGCTTCCTGATTTCCAGATCGAAGAATCTTAAACAACCAATTTATAATTTTCAGTAATTTTATGAAAAGAAACCTGTCTCAATTGGAAGAGATAGTCGGGCTCAAATCCAACACGCTTAGCATACATGATGATCTTATCGAATTGACCAGTTTCAGCAAAGGATTGAACAACTTTGTGAGGAACATTTCCTCGCAAATAGATCGAAAGAGCAATTGTGGGATCGTGTGGTCTTACAAGATCTCCAAGCTCTTCGCAGCATTCAAGCTTGTGCTCACTCAACCTAAGAAAGAAGACATAAACTCCAGAAGTCAAAAATAGTGTCAATTACCATTTGTTGATTAGCTCTTTTCTTCCCTGAGAGAGTACAGGCCGGCAAAGTTCAAGAGTTTCGTACTTGTTCAATTTACCCTGAAGATGTTATTGTACTTCTTTAAAATGATTACTAATGTTACTTGATCTAAAAGAATTCCGAAGTACTGGAGAAGAGGAGTAGCTCCACCGCCGGGGTTAACAGGACATTGTTGGAACTTTTGGATAGTTTGTGCAGTTCTCAAAATGCCCTTAGGGGCAGTTGCTGCAACCTTGGCAGCTTCACCAAACTGGTTATTACCGAACAGAAGATTGAACTTGCGGATGAATAACTCATCAGCTCCTATTACATACGATTAATAGACATAATAAACAAATATGAGCACCTGGTAAATCACATCTAGCAGCTAAACGCAAAGCTAGGTCAGGATTTTGCAACGTTTGAGTGACAAACGGAACCATATTAGCCTCATCGATCGAGACAGATAGTACCTTAACAGCTTATTCTTATTGATAGTCTTTCCTTCGCAACTAACTTGTCCCTTTCTGTTGATTCCCATTATTCCACCAGTTTGTTGATACTCAGTGGTAACGAACACTGTTTCAGTGGAAATACGGTTAGAATAGATACGAGCTCCTGATTCCAAATCGTATAAATGTACAAATCCATGCTTGGTAACCAGGTAAACAATCCCATGTTGCGAAGAAGACTTAAAACGCAATATTTGTTTGGATAAAGAGAAATTAGATATATTAACGATTATACCAATAGTTTATAATTTTATAAACAGTTGGAAAGCTTTGAATAACCATCAAGAGAAACAAAGGACAGAAGTTCGCAGGAAGGTTAGAGAAAGAACCGGTTCTATGCGAACAGGCGGTCAAGACAAAGAAGATGACCATCGCATCCAAGCAATTAGAAAGGTATCGAAAAAGACAAACCTGCATGGAGACTGGGAAATCATTAGCAGTTTCTGCTGTGTATGGAACATCGACGGCTTTTTTTACAAAAGGTTGATTTCCTGCTGGTGGCTGACCAACTTCAATGATATGCAACTAAAAACAAAAAAACGTACTGTACGGAAAACATCGAAAACCAACCTTTCCTCCGGTTTCATTCTTTACAGAGAAACAGAACAAGTTAGAAGGTTGTGAGTTTCCGTCACATTTGAAACGAACAAAGCAAGCAGCATGTCCTTCGATTGGTTGAGATACTTTGCGTTCAGTACTGTAGAGCTGCATGCTTCCAATAACCCGATTATCCTACAATCGATTATGAATATTCAGAAATTAATCTTTCACATACTCTAGCAGAGATTCCGACCAGAACAAGCCATTTGCAGTCATTATCCGCTCTGTAGTTGATAATTTGGCTGCCATTTAAGGACATATGCCTATCAAAAATCTTGACGGGAGCAGAATCACCTTTAACACAATCTTTGAACAGCTTATTTACACAAGGACCTACCTTCAATTGACCAATGGTAGACGGCTGATTCACTCACTAAAGCAATAGTTTTCTCATTAATCCATTTCCAGAACACAACTTCTTCATTGTTCTGATGAGCTTTCACCTTGGATTTCAACTCAATATTAAAAATCTGAAGGGTTTTGCCAGCTGAAAAGAAAATGGTAAAGAATCATCTCGAAGTCAATTTCAACATTTGAGAGCAATTATTTTTGCAGTAGGGTGCATGATGACAGAATCTGCAGAAATAGGACGTCTTTGAGGATTAACAGGATCAGATAAATCAATGATCACTACTTGTTGAGATTCTCCGATCTAAACTTCATGGTTACTACTAATTTGAATAAATTGATTTACCATTTCCCTAACAACGATAAACTTATCGGATTCCATCGTAACATTCGCGAAGCAAATTGTCTGAGGGCGAATGCCCACATTTGACAACTAAAAAAATAACTTAAAAAGAAAAAACAAACTGACAAACCTGCAAATGCTCGTGAAACTTTATGGGAAGACTCGCCATTTTCACTTATTAACTATATATACAACCAAAAAAGGTGTTAATTAAGGCTCAACGCGTACTGAAATTAACTATTACTTTGTATTGTTTAATATATAAACTAAAAATTTTTGTTGAATGAACAAATGCAGAGATTGGATAGCGCAAACATTGGGCTCCAAATGAGCGTCCATCCTAATCAATAGCAAGGAACGAATGAATGCAATCAGAAAAACAACAAGGAGTTTACGCTTTCATTTAAGATAATAATGCAACAAAGTAGTGGTCATCGTTCTTTCTCGGACTGACCACCAGCTGCTGAAAACGTGTCCAGGACAGTTCAGCCGTGTGTCATCGCGACCGCTCGCCAACCGCAGCGCCACCATGACATGGCTGATCGCTACAAGACCTTTATGTGAGTGGAAGTGTGTCGACTAGACCTCTCCACTTACGACATCAGTACAAATATATTTCGGGGCCGGTGTCTCTCAGCCCATTAAGGACTTTAGTAAAGTACTAATGATCGATATAGTTAACTGATAAGAAAAACGGCAAACAATACGATGAAATACAAAAAAACTGACCAGAACAACTCCGCTCTGATTGGAGCAGCATGAATCACATTAACTGGAAATCTGGAAATAGCACATCTACATATATTCCATGGCTTGCAGAATTGTAATTACTTAATTGCCCCGATTGCTTTAACTATTCCCTATCAGATAATTCAGTTTGTTTCGCTAACAACCACGAAATGGATCAATAAGGATATTTTCGGTTGCAACTATTTACATGTTCGAATTAAAGGTCTTGTGGCGATCGTTTGTGGGGAACAACGCGGTAAAATAATGTTTTTGAACGGTCAAACAAACAAATTTCTGTAACATCCCGTGATTGAAACGTTTACCACTCGAATTCAAATTGTTTTTACTTTTCAAACTCAATTATGCTTTCCAGATGGATCGGCCAGGAACTTCATCAGATTTTTTTCTAAGTTCCATTCTTGATAATATGGAGAAATTAACGCCTTGCATCCCTTTTGAGGATCCTGGGTCATCAGTTGCACAGGTTAGGACTCAAATGTTTCTGATTTTCTCACGCTTTTCTGTAGGAGTCCTTACTACTGTCCTTACCGTCGAATATTTTGGACAAAATAGTTGCGAAAATCCCACTTTACGGTTTGAGAGCATGGTTGATATAGTTTACGATTTGATTCAGAACGAATTATATCATGTGGGTCAGTGTGCCGTCAACTGAGAGCTAGTGTATCTAGAACCATTACTTCTGTCGAGTTTTACAAGGATGGATTTGACAGTTTAAGCGAGAAGCGTTTGAATTACTTCTTAAGCATCTACGGAAAGAACATCACATACCTAAACTTTGATCTGTTCCGTTCGACATTCCTCCAGGTTTGATAAAGTGGACCGTATTTCAAAGTATATTTGGTTGATAGGAGTGTACTCAGTGGACTTGGAGACAATCTGTCATTAACACAGTCAGCTTTTGCAAAAATTTGAAAGAGCTAAATATCTTGGTCTGTCATAGACATCGACTTAGAGATAACGATCTCATTCGAGTAGGGATAATCAGAAAGTAATCAAGTTACAGTTTTTTTTCCAGATTTTCACAGCCGCCCCAACTCTTGAGTCTGTCAGCATTGATGCAAAGTTCCTGAATGGACACTGTTTTATGGTAATTTCAGTGGGAGATGAAGGCAGTAAACAGATATTTTTATAGACAGCGCCTCCATCATTGAAGAAATTAGAACTTGAGATGTGCTACAGAATCACTGAGACATCGCTGAAATACATTTTCAATCTTAAAAAACTTACAGTATGTCTTACGTGGTTCACTCTCCCTACTATCCATCCCTAGGTCATTCACTTCTCGGAATTACTCATTCTGAAAGATGCTGTTATATATGATATGATACACAAGTTACGCCATCTGACGCACGTCTCTATCGTTTCAAATCAAGAAACTTTATACAGAGGTTTGTTGGTCTTCATTACACATCAAAGAATTCATTATTATAGATCTTACGCCTTCTGGATTAGCTTTATTCGGTCGACTTCCCCATTTAACGACTTTAGGTTTGGAAGGTCTTAGTGCCGTAACTGATAAGTTCCTGATGGTAAGAGATATATAGCGGCGTATACTCATAAATCTCTTTTTGTTCAGGAAATCACTAATGAGAAAAATCCTATATGTACGAAGCTAACCGGGCTTTCACTAGCCTTTTCTTATAATATTGGACTGTAAGCTTTGATGTTTGCTATTTAGCATTCTATTGGTTTCAGATCTGGAATAAGATGCTTGAGCAAGTTGCATTCTCTTGAAAATTTGAATTTGGAAGGTGTAAGCAAGCGAGACGTTTCTCTCGGTTTGGAAGTAGTTGCTCAATGCGGTAAACTTGTTCGAGTAAGAGTTATTTCTTGTTTATTAGCTTGCAAGCTTGATTTTCCAGCTTTTATTGGCCGAAAAATGTAATGTGTCTCCTGATGCATTGAAGCTGATTGTAGCTAGCTCGCCTAACTTGCGATTCCTTGATATAACCAATAACGAAGAGATCATAAACTGGCATTGTGCTAAGGAAATAGTAATTTCGATACAAATTTCAGAAATTAATTTGTTTCGTGTTCAGGTTTTACATTGGGCTCAGACAAAACGCCCTCAATTAACCATTTTAACCGACGATCATATTACATGGAATATGGTTGTTAAGCCTCCTGTTAATGCCTACGGTGTTGTACCAGTCAACGTTATCCATGTACATAGACAATCAGTACCTTGGTATCATCTACTTCCTTATGCAGTGTATGTTATTCAATTTCAGCGAAGATGTTTTACCAGATTCCTCGTTATCAAATGAAGATGTTTCCCAAATTTCACCTGGATTACTGTATCCTGCTCTCCGTAAGGGCATACGTTATCGTTTACTATATGAAACTCTCGGTGGAGGTGAACAGGAAGAGGTGGGGCCCTAGTCAACATACTTTTTATTCATGATATTAATATTAGAAAGAAAATGGTATTTTCTGCAATTCACCGCCTATTGCCGATGTCGTTGAGCAGCCTGCTGCTGTAAACATTATGAATGTTTTACAATCTAAGAAACGACAAAAGTTTTTTGATATTGGAAATAAAATGAGGTAATATTTCTTCCAAGACGTCTCACCCTTGTTTTTCTTCCAGTGATGCCAATCTCCCTTCTGGATTTAGCTTCTCTCCTGTTTCTGCAGACGGGGATCCCAGCAGTCGTGATTGGTGTACGTTGTAACCAGTAATACTTCTAATGAATTGAAATTATTCAGCGGTTGATGTGTTGTCGCTCCTCCTCAATACTCACGCCTATCACGATGGAGCTCATGTTGGACCTATGCCTGTCAAGGAAGGGATTGTTTTCAAACCAGATGGAAGGGTAGGCGCGAACGCTTCTATTAATCCCTTTGCTCAGAAAAATGGTGGGGCCCCCCGTCCCCCTATTGAAATCCCACCCCAGCCAGTAGTTCATTATACCAGGGGGTCTAGGGCTAAACGACGTTCTGTTCCTTTAAAACCTACTAATGCTGCGCATAAGTTTGATGCAAGTGATTTCCCACCTCTAAGTAGTTAAGCATACCAGTAGTATAGTTGTTAATTTTCACTGGATGAGCTACATACTCGTGCACATTTTATCTAACATATAGCTTTTCCTTTTTTTATTGTTCCTTAAACTTCCTTTTTAGGAATGTTGTTATAATTTAATAATTGTGCTCAAGTGTGTCGAGCTCATTAATATATAAAACATAAAGTTAGATAACTATGAAAGGTCTATAGTTTCCCCTACCCTACTTCATTGTTTTAGTTTCATGCTGCGTTTTTACGTTGCGTTATCTTTACTCAACGAATAAATATTACTGGCATAATTTTCAAAAGTGTGAATATGCTTGGGGGTTTGTAATTTTTGCCTGAATTTTTATTATATGCATGCGTTTGACCTGCTAATGGATGTACATGGCTTGTTCAGGTTGAAGATATTTACCGATCAATCAAATATATGGACCCTCTTCTGTTAGGATGCAGCAGAATTGAGATTAACAAACAGAAGTATCCCGCTTCGAATTCGAAACCGAGTCCAGCTTGTTAACGATGGCATGCATGTTTTTCGATGCTTTGGCTTATGCTATGTTGTAGATATTCTAACCTTTGCATTACCGTCAATGTTGGAAATGCATGTTCTCCCTCTTATGATCCGCATGTTTTATGCTTTTGTTTTACCTATGCTTCTTTCGTTTTATCACAACGATATGATCAGTTTTGCCTTGTTTAACCAACTTGTACCTGGCAGCCGCTTTTCGCATGCTGTGGTTACACTCTGAGAATGCTTTTTATGTACCAAGTACGTTGTCATTTTGCATGTTGCATGCCTTTAGAATTGCCTTATTTTGTTGTAACAAAAGTTTCAGAGTTTATGATATTTCTGTTTCAAAGAGAGATCGGTCAGTGAATGAGTTTGCCGAGTAACTTAGATTAGTTAAAAACTCACGCAAATTAAGATGTTAGCTCAGAACGGTTGCATTCTATGTAGTTTTTCATTGTGTCACGTGAATTATTTGAATATAGAAATGTTCGAAGAAATCTAATTAATACTCGCTCATTCACATGTAATGTCTGAATGCACAATAAGATATTTTGTTCAACTTATTTTTTCACCATATAATTGGATTATTTCTGAAAGTTTAGGCCTGAAATTCTGTATAGTTTTCCTGCCAAATATTTAAAAGTACTACTTTCCGATGCATGAAGGGATATGTGTATTGTTATCACGACCTCAAGACTATTGTTTCTGTTCCCATAAAAATCGCACTTGTTCTAATATCTCTGTTAGAAAGAAACTTTTAATTAATTCTTCCAAAAAAGTACTACCAGAACATTGCCAAAACTCGCCATTTATTTAAATGTGGAGCGTTCATTAAATGCATGACATTAAAGATTATTGAGTCGTAAAATATAGTTTGTGGCAGAGAAGACGAAACTTCTTTTTTTTCAAATCATCCATCTCATTTGCCATCTAGTCCACCGCCACTACCACGCAGCAGCTATTCCATCTATAGCTAGATGATAAATGGCTTGTCCTCACTTGGGATTCCATTTATGGTTTAGTGGTGGAGGTTTGGATGAGTGTCTTTGTTTCTTGTTTTTCCAACACACACACACACACACTTTCTTCAACATTCTCAACATTTTTTTCGGAACACCACTTCCTGATTATGCTTTTTCCTGTGGTTTCCATATACGACTTAATCCAGGTTCTCCTCATATGCCCAGGAAATGTCATTGACGTGCCCCGCAATTCATATGCTCTATTCAATTAGTAAAAAAGAGAAATAATTGAATTTACTATGGAATTATGAAAAAAAGGCTTCCTTCAATTGTTTTTGATTATTTCTTGGTTTCATCTTGCTCATTCTCGTTCCCATCACTTGCTCCTCATCTAAGTCCCATAATCCTCTGTCAGATTTCTTTCTAGCTTTAGTGTGCAATAGCAGCAAGCGTTGCACATTTTTCTTTGAATCTGCACATAACTTGTTTCTTTTTATTTTTCGTGCTTACTAAATGTGTGTTACAATTCCTCTTAATAAATTTCAGATGTCGTCAACTCTTTGTCGCTTTCTTGTCCTGTTCATGCTCTTGAATGTAGTGCTCGCACACTACTATTGGTTCGAAACACCTGGAACGTTGAAGGTGGCAAACAAAGTTATAAAATGGTTTATAAGTGTGTTTCCAGTTCAATGATGAGGCTGATATGCCCATGAATGATGAGCCCCTTCAGATGCAAAAACGATTCCGAGTCAAATATCTGCGGAACATGAATCGTTTGAATCCTGGTAATTTCTGATCTCATGCTGATGAAAGCCCAAACCATTTGATTATTTCAAATCCGTCGTGTTTCAATGAACATTTTCATTATACTTATGTACAATTATTAAAATATAGATACAAAACATAAACTACACGCAGAATAATCGAGAAAACGCTACCCATATCGAGAATCCACAAGTAAACAATGCGATAAACTAGAAAATATATAAGACGGGAGGGAATTATGTAGGAAAATGGTATCATGCCCTTCTTGCATCTGGAAACCTCATCTTAAGGAAGATAAAGCTTGTTGACAAGAAGATTTTAAGTGAATGAAGCTGATGAGCATCATAAAGCTTTCCTGATTATAAGTGTAACAAATGAGCATAAAAAGTAAAGTTGCTCCATAAAAGGCAATTACAGAATAAGCTGAATGCAAATAAGGATGATAGGAAAATATAGCTGAATAAGAATAATGAAGTGATGATCTATTATGACAGTTATTAGGAGAGTGGCAATTTATACCCAAAACAAGTTAATTGACAGCCATTGACTTCGCCTCAAATATGGAGAGAGAAGGTCCCGCTGCTCCAAACACAAGTGGTCGATGCCTCGATGGCCTTGTTGAAGATTCCATCTTCGCGAACTCTGAAAACTCTGATTTCAATTTTTGAAACAATTTTTTTAGATTTTAGACATCAAAGATGAGCCGATGAAACAACTGTCAAAATAGCTACTTCAAAACAAAGATAAGAGCAAACCTTGAGTAAATTCTTCAATATTTATATGATCATCAGGCTTCTCTTCCGATGCTATAACTCGAGCAGTCTCCGGGACGTCAGAAGTTAATTGCGATACTTCTTCTTCACAGATTGTCGGCTCATCTGCAGACGTTGATGACGAATTAGACATTGTCATTACAAGGGGTTGATGTTCAGGAGAGCCTATAGAAAGGTTATTACTAAATATGTTTTGCAAGTTTGGAGCATAAACTTGTTGCGTCTTAAGATAACTTACTTTGCTCGGGCACTGTTCCTAGCTCATCGAATGATTTGAAAATCATTGAACGTTTGCGTGCTCGATTAGCTAAGTTGTAAGCTGAAGCACTTTTAACTGGGAATGACAAATCACTTATTCCACTGAAAGTATTGATCAGGAACGTTTTGAAAAAAAGTGGAACCTTTCTTCATCGTCTTCTTCATTGATATCACTCGTGGAGTAGTACATTCCAGTAGTTGCGACGGAGATGGAATCATGAATGCCATCATGGATAGGTAAACTGCTGTTTAGAGAAATATAATCAGCCAAGGATGACGCAGAGATGTTATCATATCGTGAAGGCAACCTCCTTATGGAATCTAAAATTTTTTGTTTCAAGTAAACCATGTATTAGCATTTTCGATTCTGCTCGTCATAAGGCTCACGCGCCAATTCGAAAATATTCTCTCGCTAAGTTACGTAATGAGCGGTCGCATTCCATTTCCCTCAACGCCTCATTATGTTTCTTTCATCCAGAAACGTCAACATGGACTTTTAATTTAAATCATCTTTATTTTGATCTTAACTCAAATACCCGGCTCTATTCGAAACTATGTTATTTTATATTTACAAAACACCCGAAAGGAACGCTCGCTATGCTAAGACAGGTATGGAATTTGTATTAGTATAAATCCTACCTGTTAGTTCTTGACTTTCATGGGCTGTGGCCATTGTTAATAAACTACATTCGTCATCAGTTTGATTACGATGTCGCACTCGAGCTATTGGGGATGTGGGAGCAGTCTGTGGTTCTTCGTCGATTTGAACAGTCTTGTGAACATGATTGTCTTCCGTCAGAATGACATCATTAACTTGTCGATATTCCTCTTCATCCTGTGGGGAATCGAGTCTTTTTTTACTACTCATCGAGTCTTAAGAACGTTCTTCATGTTGTACGCGATGTTCGTCATACCTGATCTACCCAATGTGATATCCAGAACTTCCTGGAAAGTCTTCTCATGTATAGGAATGGGATGATTTAACCAGGAATGTTGACGAATGTCTGCTAAGCCTTAATCAGAATTGCACTTTCCGTCAACTTTCTCTCGAATCTCACCTGCTCTTTGAGATGCGGAGGTAGTTAAACATGATTTGATTAATTGACAGCACTCTGAATATGAAAATAGAGGCTATTCTTAATCTTTTCGCAACCTTTAGTTAAATAAGACGGGAACTTCACTCTTCCCAAACAAATTTGAATTTCATTCTTGAAAGGTAGTTGTCCAGTCACAAGTATATACAAGAGCACTCCCAAAGACCAGCTAGTGGCTTCTAATGGGAGATATTGTAGCTGTCGGAACCATTCAGGTGGACAATATGAGCGAGTTCCTGATAAGCAAATCAGTAATACCTAATGAGAATGATTAAAAACCTTGAAATTCCTTTTTCATTGCTTTTTCTGCAGAAGCTGTTGCTCCGAAGTCTACAAGTTTCACTTCACCTGTTTCCATATCAACAATTATATTCTCGTCCTAAGAAATAATAATATTAATTCATAATACATTAGTGTTTCCTACTTTAATGTCTCGATGTATCAAGCCATGCTTAGCATACATACAACAGACTGTATCAACAACTTGAAGGAAAATGCCTCGTGCAGTAGCTTCGTCCAGCCTGCCATAGGTGGAAACTAAGTCGAAGACATCCATGCATGTGTAAGGCCTTTCCATAACAATTAAGAATCCTTTCGAACTATAACAATTGCGAACTTGAAAAGCTATTTGTTGTCAACTTATTTACCTAGCGAACCAATCAATCAGGTGAATGACACCTGGGATATCACGACATGTCTCTAAATGACATAACTCTGATGGTATCAGCTGATTACACGTCTAAAGTTATTATAAGTATCAAAAACAATCTAACTAGAACTAACCATCGTCCATTCTCGGACATGCTTGTGTTCAACGAACTTAACAGCTACAGGAAGACTATCTGATATACGAACAGCCTATAATCAGAACACTATTCCTCCATTCGTTCTCGAAAACACTAACTTTATAAACAATTCCGAAGCCACCACGTCCTATTTCGTCTAAAACTCCATACTGGCGTCGGAATTCTTTAGCAGAATGAGCTGGAAAATACAAGAAAGTACGTTGTCTTCTCCTCAATTCTATTTTCAAACTAGAAACTAGTTAGTCTTTGCATTATCTCTCATATTCTCACAATTGACTCAATTGATGACACAATGACTACAAACATAAAAAACAAGCAAAGAACTCAAGTTCCTATGGCCAGAATATGCTTTTAACGATGATCGAGCTATGTATTACCTTTCTGATGAAAGAAGTCAATTTTATAGGTGCAGCAAACAGTCAAATCCTGCAGCTTTCTTTTCAACATCCTGAAAACCATGAAAATGAAAATTTGAAATGGAAACTGAAACTTGGAAATATGCCAAATTAAGAATTTGAACTCAAAATCTCATTCGCTCATTAACAGAAAAAATCGAAAGTTGATGGAGGATTTGTTAAGTGAACGTATCTTTGCATGAAAAATACGAAAAATATCAAAGTTTTGTCATTGAAGAGTCACACTGAACGTTTGACACAGATACACATAGTTTTCTCTAAAGACTCAGTGAAAGAGAGAGGCAGAGAGAGAGCTTGGGGGTAAGAGGGCACCTGAGGTGTTGACCCCATGGTTAAGAAACGTTTAAAATTGAGAAAAAAACAAGAAAATCACATAAAAAACAGGTGGAAATATTAAAAATAAGGAGGAGGGGTGTTCGCATGCAAAGGTGCCAATAGACTGTTGGCCGAGATGTTTTTATAAATATTATCAGATTTCCAAATATAAAACTTTTATAAATTTTTAATCATGGTAAATGTGCTTGTTAGTGAATACTCCGTAGGAAACAGCATGGAATATAGAGAGAGACGAAAAGAGAGAGAGAGAAACAGAGAGAGAGAAAGAGAAATAGAGCATAGGTCGTAAAGGAAGGCTGAGGGTGTTGTGTTCTGGCGAAGAGAGAGAGTGGGGGGGGGGATCTAAAATAATTTTTTTGATACTTGATCTCTAGAAAAGGAGAATACAACATAAAACAGAATTGAATTTTTGAAAAATGGAGTAGTTTAACGGGAATGGCTGGAAATCTGTGAAACATCCAGTTGTTGGTATGGAATTAAAAAAGAAAAATGACAAAAAAAATGAAAGTTATTCAGTTGAAACTTCAGTTGGCACAAGTCTCAGAGGATCTATGAAGGTTATATAACTCAATCTCCAGAGACTTGGAAGATTCACTGGATTTAGGCGGAAGAGGATATGAGTGTGACGGAACTGACGAATTGCCAAAAAATGTGATGATTCTTAAAGAAGAAGAGTCTCTCCCAGAACTCTCATTTCATAAAATGATACGATGTAACTTGAAAAAGTTTAAGAAGCGTATTGTGCAGGAAAATATTTTCCGGAACCGGAAGACGTAAGAAACCCATCAAAGAACACGAGAAAGTAAGACGAGCGGGAAGTGTGGGAGGGAGAGATGCGTGCGGTTGTAGTAGTGGGTGAGTATGGTTGAAATCATGGATCAGAAAAAATTTAGAAGGAGGTGAGTAGAAGTGATGACCCTCAAGAGAGCAGCTACTGGTGATCTAAGCAAGTTTTCGCTGGTCATTTGAAATTCAATCATAGTCTAATACTCTGTCTAGCACATAATATTTTGCTTGACATAGCAATAAACAATTTGAGCAGGAAAAACCAGGCTAAACTAGCTAAGTGTGAGTACTATGTGAAGAGTCATTATTGACAACTTGAAATCTCATAAGCATCAGATGGATTACGTGAAACTCCACGTGAAGATATCATTTCTAGCTAAGAGCACACTGATGATTGGTCGCATTCGTTGAGAGTCAAAATTCATAATCACGAATGAAGGAAGCTATGAAGATTGCTAAGCCAAACATAAAAAATGGAAAATCAAAAAATGGCTTAGCAAAACAGGCTCACAGTCTATCTGGAAAAGATAAAACAGCGGCTCTCAGATGACAATCTGTCAGCATTGACAGCGGAAAGATAAATGCGTAAAATGGAATAGTTTTAATGCATGAGAAGATTAGAGATAAAAGCAACAACTGCCGGAATACAATCCTTTTCAGGAAATTTCTGAAAATTATTGATCAACTCCTTCAAAAGAGTTTAACGTCGTCCAAAAATTCGACAGTAAATTGGTTTAGTACTGAAAGATACTTATCGCTCTCTCTCTCTCTCTTGTTTTTGTCCTTTTTGAAAATTTCGAAGCGAATGGTAGCCGAAACACTGACTTTCTCTCACTCTCTCCTTCTTCAAGCGCATCTTATCTGTGCCATTTTGCTCTGTACTTATCTTCTACTACATCCTTCTCGTCACAAGTTCCAGCATATCTTCTGGCGACACTTGACGGGCTGGCAAGCTTTGTGTGCAAGATGATATGATCATCTTTGTTGTAGCTTTGTAAGTTCTCACCAGTTACCCCAGTGAACAAGGTTTAAAAAGGGACGCAGCTGATTTCGAAATCGTCAAGCCGTAGAGCTCATAACTGTGTAAATGCTCGTAAATTTGGTTTTATGAAATGAAAAAAAATGGAAAGAGAATAGCTTTAAGAAATCATTACGCGTCTTCAGTCAGTTTTCTGCTTGACAAACTTTATTGCTTTGCAAAGCAATAACATTGGAAATAACGGTTTCCAATAAGAAACATCGAGAAACAAGGAATAAGAACATGAGTTGGTCAAACTATAGGAACGGATGAGTGAGGAGTACGAGTCGAGCGAAATGACCATCCATCATCACTGAGTTGTTTATAACATGCTGTTATCATTGATGATTAGCACATCTGTGTTATTGTCGTGGAAGTTTTTTGTTCAAAAAAAAATTTGCAGATGGCATCATTGCAAACTTTAACACAAAGAAGTATACATCGAAATGGGACTGGAAGGAAATCATGTTGAAGCTTATTATCTTCTGATGAATGAAAATTTTAAAAATAAACTATTGTTCCACCCAATACATGACCGGACATGGACTAATTTACGTAACTTCGTCATCTGTTTTTTTGGGGTAGAATATTAAAAAAATATGTTTGAGAATGAAATTGAAGATATTCATCGATACTTCTGGAGAACGCAGTTGACAAGCATCAAGTACACTGGGATGTTAAGATGAAAATGAACGAAAGTTTTGGTCAAATTGTCATTCTGAAGGATTTTTAACACCTCAGCTGCTCAAGATTATTTGCACAATTTTACATTAACTTCAAGAGATATAAAAGTTTCCAGGCGAAAGGCGAATCGGCAGCTGCTGCCCATCATCATTATTCAAATGCAGATTACAAAACCATATAACTTTGCAACAACAAAAAAATCGTCCATCGCAATAGCTCATTAGCATTTTCAAACTGTAAACCTGAGATGACGTGGAAACACAACAACACGCCCTGATGCACACATTTAATTATGAGTTTCGCATTAAGCGGTTGTGTGTGAACGGCTGTTATTTATTTTTTTATTCTCTTTCTTTGTTTTCTTAACTTTTGAGTTCCAGCGAAATCATCTCAAATGTTTGTCCGACAAAATAAGGAAACAACCACCGGCTTATTCGTTTCCATCTCTCTCTCTCTCCTTCTCTCAAACTGTTCAAGTTTCCAGCAAATTTACGGCTTATCAACAGGTGACGCAAAATTTTGCGGAATACTTCTAAAAACACGTGAGTTTCGTTACTCTCCTCTACTCAAAAAATACACGTGTTTTTAGTGTCTCTGAGAAGGTATTCAATGACGTGAAATATGAAAGTGAGATATACATTGGATGTTGTTGTCTGAAGACAACTAAGAGAAGAAAAGGTAAAAATAATTTTTACATAAGATCTTTGCTGGGTCTTCAGGGAAAAAGCAATGTCAATGTTTCAGGAAAAGCCACACAACCGAATACTGCTGTCAATTTTTTTCTCTTCTTCTTCTTTCGTGCCAAACAAGGAAATGGATCAACACAACGTTGAAAAAGGCTTTTTTTCGAAGAGAAAGCATACACTTTCTCGAAAATCGCAAAGAGAAAACGATGTCGTTGATGGTGTCATTGATCCCAGTAAACATAGTATTTTGTTTAGGCAAGTGTAAGTCCCGGTGAAAATGCACAACTTCTCTCTTCCCATCTCAAGTCCTGTCCATTCAATGACATGAACTCTCTGTTATTTCGCCTATTTTTTCAATTTTCTCACTATTTATCATCCGATACAGCACGTGAAGCTGAATTGGATTTGAGTCTATGATTGAAAGAGGAAAAATTGGGAGAGAAAATACGAAAAAACAAGTGGATAGAGACAGATAAGTGAAAAATTGAAAGAAAGAGAAAGAAAGATTATTGTTTTAAGTTAGAACGTCAACTGTAATGGGCAATTAAACAACTATTGCGAAGAAGACGAGGAACAGTGGCTACGGCTTTGACATTTTACTGTCAAAAACTTTCAGAAAGAAAACTATCACAAGTTTCCGCTATGCTATGTTAGATTCTACAGTTCGAAGTTGAAGCAGCTATTTTGCAGGAACGCTGAAGCTTGAATAAGGAAGGGGAGTAAAAGAGATAAATGTTCACAAATCAAATAAGTAAAGGAAAGTCTTTATCAAAACAAGAGATTTTCTCTTTTCACTCGGGCAGAAGAGGATATGCATGAAAAAACATTTGCAGTTGAAACATTTGTGAGAAGCAACATGTGCCCTTAACTGTCGTTCGTTTTTTTTGTTTAAAATATATATGTTTTTGCCATGGATTGTTATGACTTCTGGCTTTAATATTTAGATCAAAATGCATTTGACTGGTCATAGATGACAACTAGATTCGAGCCTTGTTCTAACTTCTCTTTGAATTATGAAGAAACACTCCAGGTTGATTGTGTATGTTGTCAGTCTTGTTGTTTTTCATCTTTCAACATCCTTCTTTACAGGCGTCGGAAACGGTTTTCTACTGTTTCACAATAAAGTGGATCCGCAAAGAAGAAACAGCGGTTAACTGGACAGGCTGAAGCATCCCTCTTCAGAACGTTTCATTCTGAGCGAATGTGCAGAAAACAGGAAAAGTTGATTGAAAGGTGGAAGGCAGAAACAGGATGATTGAGGATATTAAGAAAAGATAATGAGAAGTTGTCACCATTTCCTGGTGAGATAATGCTCACTTCGTGTTTTTCTCCCGAGTAGCACATTCAAAGCTCATAACTTGTGAAACTTGGATTGTGACAAAAAACTTTTTTTCTGTCTAAGTGGATTATGAGATCATTTTCATCATCAAGGATAATGAGCTGGTTCGTAATCGCTCGGTAAATAATGAAATCACGAGATCGAGTCAATAATGACAAAACTTGGTTGTGTTACCAAAATCTTTCAGTTCTATCTATATGATACAAGGAAATCCAAATAGATTGATGAAGAAGACTCATTTTGTTGACCTTTGAACGGAACTTCGAGGTCAAATCTCTCTCAATCAAACGATTTTCATTTTTTCTCTCCAGCTTAATTTGAAGAGGAAATAAGATATATGCATAAGCAAAGTTCAAATGCTCTTTGCTCTAGCCTTATCTTATACTCAAATCAAATTGGCAAGCCCAAACTTGTAATGTTTTCGGTTATGCGAAGTGAAAAGGGCAGTTCATCAACATTCATCAAAATGTTTCAACAACAGTCTTGATTTTGCGATTTTTCATCTTAACACTTATGATTCACTACTTGTTGAGGTGAACGAGTGTTATGATCAGTAACCATTCCATTCTTCATACTCGTCTATATAACCGAAAGAAACATGTGTGGACTTCCTGACGTCAGCGGAAATACACCATGACGTAAATCAGTTGACAAGCTATATCTTCATGACAGCAATCATCATAGCATATCACTTTTAGAAATCGTTCAAGGGAGGAGCTCTTTTCATGTATTCGTTATGAATGCTGCTTTAGTCATAAAACGAAAACTAAAAAATCAAAGTTTCCGATGGTCACAGTGCTAGGACTATGAAAACACGGAACAAACGTGCTGATCAAAGGAAAGCAATTAAAAAGAGCACAAAGTGATAGGAAGAGGTGAAAATGAGATTTTCCAAGTTGTAAAAAAGCTAAAACGCTTTTCAAAAAAAATGGGAAAAGCCGAGCAGATGATGTCGATTGATCTCAGAATAGCTAAGTTGCTTTCGGATAAGAATAAGAAATGAAACGAACGCATGAAAGAGAAAGGTTAGTTCAATGGTTACCTCTTCAAAAGTCTCAAGATTGAACAGAGAGCTACGTTCGAAACTTAGTTTTGGAACACAAAGATGGCTGATGTTTCGAACGCGTAAGATTTGAAAATTTCATTAAATGGAGTTGGATTTTGGAAAAAATCAAAAGTTAGAGAAAGTGAAGTGAAGAATATGTGAATGAGTGTGAAGAAAAGATCTCAAGCATATGGTAGATTTCTTTCATAAAATTTCTTTTCTTCTGAAACTCCAGATGTTTCTAGTTCAAACGAATGATAAGAGTTCGTAGGATTATACTTAAACTTGGGGGGATAATAATGCAAAAAACTGTTTTACCTTAAGCGACGACGCCACCATCCGATTCTCCGTCGACGACCTTCATGTGGTAGTAAGGCTGTCATCTTGCAATGTTAAGAGCAAACTTTTTGATTTTCTTGGAAAAAATCAGCCGTATTAGGCTTATCCTCCAGGAAAAAAAAACTTTCTGATCTTTACGTTGCTACGGCTAAACACTGACAACTAGAATATGGCCAAATGCCAATTTGCAGTCTCCTCCCTCAAGTAGAATCTTTGTGAAAGCTTTCAGCAAACTCCGCCTTTGCCAGGATTTTCGTCTTCTAACTCAGCGTATGTTTCTCTCATCTTTACCCGTATATTTACACAAATACATGGTCAAACAGCGTTTTTCAACTTTTTTTGAAGAACGAACGATCTTCATTATCTGACATCCACCTACTCATCCATTCCATTTGTGGATAGAACAATCGTGACGAAGTTGACGCCATCAATCTGTTCTATTTTAGGTTGTGTCCGTGAGATGCGTGATGCCAAAATGAGAAATGAGCATAAATAAGAATTTTGAGACAAAAAAGTCTTCTGGCAGTTGAACAAAAACTTTCGTCTTGTCATTGGAACAAGTGTTCATAGTCCTATAGGATGAGAAAAAGCTCTGAGTACGCCTAACTTCTTTTTATGTTTAAACATTTGCGAGGTTTGGAAGACATAAAAATTGGCAGCAAAACAGTCGCATGAAGTTAATGCCATATAAAGCCCAGAGGCTTATTCATTTCAGGAATTCACAGATAATTCGTCTGTTACGTCATCACGCAGTATCAATTTCCTCATCGTGAAACAAAATCATAAAGTATTTTTTGGATGAAGAAGGAAGAACATAAAGATGTTCGTGTGAGTTTAGCCATCCGATAACCACAATGTATTTTACTTTCAACTAAAATGGTGAACTTCAGTAAATTTACTTTTTCAAAAGTTAAAAATAACAAAACCTCAGATATTTTTCGAATTTTTTTTTCAAAATATCATTGATAACTCGATGATAAGAGGCGTGGGGGTGGTAAGGCAAACACTATTGGCAAAGAAACATAAGATAATCATCCTCTGTGGTCATAATTTCCTTATTTCTTACTTTACTCAACTCTTCATCATCTATCTAGATTTCCAGAAGAACAATTGTACAGAATATATCCATCTAACGAGCAAACAATCACAGATATTCTCATCTCGTTCACCCAATACACACTTGATATGAGCTGTCAAAAACTTAGCAGAAAAAAAATTCAAAAATGAAAACGCGACAGCGAAAAAATGCAAAGAAACTTCTTTACTTGCGACAAAAAAAAATTGTTCACTGTACTACAAAGGCTGGCAATATGAGACTGATTCAGAGAGACTAGGGCATATCTGGGGACAAGTTCAAGATTTCAATATGCTAATATATCATTTTCAAATGCGTTGGCGTACAGAACGGTTGCATCAATCAATGATTTTCAATTGATTAACTAAACTTTCTGAAAACTGCCCAGGTGCTTTCAGAGTACGTCAATATGAACATATAGAGCAAAAATTGGATACGAAACCGGCTTCTATACAAGAATGTTCGAAAAAACTGCTAATGAACGAGAATGGACAGTAGAAAAAACAATTTAAACGTACATTTTTATTCGTCGCATCGTCGGTTCTTTTCTCCGTTTATGGGTATATCCTGTAATAGTAATAATATTATAAAAGATCTTCTGACGAAATAATAAATATAAAGATAAAGTTTATAATTTTTATCATTTTTTGATAAACCCACGAAATGAAGTTACTTTCTCGAACAAGAGCCTTATGAGCCAGAAGAAACAGTCTCATAAAACTGATGGTTGAAAACTCATTGGAATCAAATGACAGTTCAGAAATAGGGAACAAAAGTTTCGAGCGTGTGTATGTGAAAATGCAAACAAACTAGGGGGTGGAATTACCATAATCGTCTAATCTCTACAGTTTTTTCTCTTTTAATAATAAATGTGTTTCTTATTTTTACTATCATATATGGCCATCGACCATAAAAGTACTTCGTTAGTCAACACACACACACACACATACACACACATACACGAGTTAATACATGTGAATTGGTAAGTTGCAAACTTCGAAATCTAAGAATAACGTCACTGTCCGAAAGAAGAAAAAGTGAAATTAAAATAAAAATCATCATAAAAGTTTATTGAGATAAGAGGAGAAAGTAAGAGTGGAGAAGCTTCATAAACACAAAATAGAACTTGAGTACTAGTAGCAGATAGAAGTTATCGATGAGAAGACATGAAAAGCAGTTTCTATTCAGAATTATACATATCGATTGATTCCAAAATACCTTATTAACACGAACAATCTTGGCGCCAAAAAAAATCCGAAAGTTTCATTTGATTTCTGCAAGCGCGGTGGTCGGTTGTTTTCCTTGCAAAATTAAATTTTAGTTCAACTACAGGTCACATTATGCAAAGTATACAGTTAATGAAAAAGAAATAATATGTTTTTGAGTACTTGATATCAAAGAGACATTTGTGAGTTCGTTGTTTTGGAAAGCAAGAAGAGAAAGCATTGGTGAGTAATATCTTCAAGTTGCAAGTTGATAAACACGTGTCGAACGAAAAGGAATGAAAACAAAGTTGTTTGATTCATCTCTTTCTTTTATCAATTATTACGATCAGAGCAGAGAGGTTCTGATTTACAGGTTGCATTATAATGTAATGAACGACCTTTTCAGATTGAAGCGAGAGGGGTTGAAGACCAAACATAAGCTTCTCAACGTTCGACAAAATTGAGCCGAATTAGGCGCAAATAAAAAAGCTAAATGAGGTATATTCATTGTTTTTTGTGACATTCGACATTTTCTGATCCGCCAACGCTTAAGACCAATGCTCAAACGAACTCAAAATATGCCAAAGATAAACGAAGAGCAACTTCTGGAGATGTTGACAAGCGAGAGTTAGACTTAAGCATCTATGGAAATTTGTGAGAGAAACGGAAAAAATGCTTGTATCATCGGAATTTCTCAGAGGAAGTGGCTCATGAAATTGGTTTAACGTCGAAATTTGAAAAGCCGTCCACCTCGGAGACATCTTGAGTCGTTGTGTTTCGGTCTAACACCCACTGATTGAGGAAGAAGATGGAAAATGATGAAAAAAGAGATTTGACCAAAACCTACGTAAGGAAATGAAATAATAATGAAAAAAATGTCAACTGGAAAAGAAATTCTTTGAGGATTTCGATGGAGGAATGGAGTAAGGGAGTACTTGGAAATGATAAAATGCAGGCTGCTTACGTCATGGGTGCTTTACCTTTAACGTCAGCAGCCCATCATCATATCACAATAATGAAGAGAAATTAGACATTGGGTGAAATGCTTAGCTTTTCAATTAGCTCCTCGTTAAGCACAAGATTTTGACTCCAACGCATGTGACTTAATTTTTCTTATTTCCAGACGATTATTTGCTATCAGATTCTCCTAATTTGAAAAATTGAGATGTATTACACGATTTTCAAGTTTCCAGACGGAGCTCTAATGCATGAAAGGAACTTCCTAGATTGAACAGAAGAAATATTAAGGACATACCTAGAGTAGAGTAGGTAGAGGCTATAAGTTGTGTGAATGCGGAACGGACAGTATAACCAAGCTTGCCATGTCCTCAATATTTGTTAAAAGTTGAAGATTGTATTTAATTTTTGTTTGGGGATTCTATAGTTTCGCAGAAGAGAAGGTATTGACACACGTTGCAAATAACTTTTCCCATTATCAGTGAAATCGAAAACTATTATAAGAAATTCAGTTTCGATTCTTCTACTGTTGTCTTTTCAATTCATATGTATTTGAACTTTTGTTTTTCGCGTAAATAAAGATGTTGATTGGATCTCTCCCAATACTCGACGCAACCATCACTTTCGAAGATTTATTTCACACATCAGTAAATTGGAACATTTTGTTATTAAGAGAAGTGTTAGGATGTTTGAGCATCTCTAATGTACCACAAACAAATTGCTGGCATTCAAACTCTTGTCTTTTAAAGTAAATGTTTGATGCGCGCTCTAATGCTAATGCGATGCTGGCCGTGTGACACGCCCTTTAGTGTCTTTTGACTAGACGGCTTCAAATTTTTATTTAATCTTCCAATAATCTTATTCTATAAATAAAAAGAAGTTTCTATAGATTCACATTAATTTAAGGCATTTGATATGCAAACAGCAGAAGGGTATGCTTCGGATAATGGCCCCCCTAAAGGATCCAGGCTAGCCAAGTATATGGGTGCAAATCGAGGTCAACAGTACATACAAGCTTTATGCATCTAAATTATGAATTATAGGCACTGGATCAAGCTTACCACAGCTTAATGCTAACGTACCTAGTTTTGTTCCTCAATTCGCGAAGCTGGGCCTTAGCGACCCCAACTCAGGTGGAATGGGAGGACCAAGTCCGTTTAACACGAGGCCGTTTGGTGAGAAGCTCAGTTGTGCATTTGGTCCTAAACTAAATTTTCCAGTTCCCAGCTCCAGTAGTAATAACGTTGATCATATGGCTCAACAGTCATACCCTCATGTACTTGTTCACTGCCTGCCTATCATATAGTTTCTTTTTTTTCAGTTACAAGATGTCCAAGGAGGAACAACTTATTACTTTCCAAATGGAGATTCTGACCAAATGAATGAGCCTGACAGTTTCACTACAGTGGTGAGTTGGCATCGATTACGTAGTCTATGTGTTTTTAAAGCAAACAAGTGGATCGTTCACCTATCACGGTCCTCTTCCTCATATTGGGAAGTTCCGTCCTAAAGGAGCTGTGGGGAACAATGTTGCTCAATTCATATCTCCTGACTTAAAACTAGAGTTGGTGAATAGACAATTAGCTATGGATGCAAGAGCTGACATGACGGCATACCCTGAGCTTCCCCAGCAAGTATTTGTTTTTCCAATCGTTATCGATTTGTATGTTTCATTTTAGGTCGAGCATTTGAATAACATAACCCCATTGGAAACCATTCAGCCTCACGCTACCAATACCGTTTACAAAGCTTTATCCATACGAGACGGCGTACCTTATTGCATACGTAGAATACATAGTGGGTTCCCTGTTTTTTTCATTAGTCTTTTTTTTTGCAGACTTTCGTTTACAATCTCCGAAACAACTGCAACCTCTCGAGAATTGGAAGAAGCTTGTTAATGTGAATATCGTACAACTACGAGAAGTTATACCCAATGCTAAAGCTTTCGGAGATAACTGTGAGCGGTCAATTTTGAAACTCTGAGAATTCTTATCTCTTTCTCAGCTTTACTTCTGGTTTACGACTACTTCCCACTTGCTGATACGTTGAGAACTAGACATTTCGGTAGACAAGGAGGCTTCATCGATGGATTAAGTATGTCTTATCTCGGTTTAAAGTCTTGATTTCATAATTCAGGTGGTGCCAAGCTTGCTAGTCCCCATTCTGGGTGTATCGGAGCCGGAGTTATTGAAGGCCAATTATGGTCATATGTTATACAAATTTCATCAGCTCTGCGTGCTGTGCATGCTAGCGGTTTAGCTGCTCGTTGTTTAGACCTTTCCAAGATTTTAGTGCATGGAAAAAGCAAAGTTAGCTTAATTGGCAAAACTCTTCATGAGGATCGTTTTTCAGATTTTACTGGGTAATTGTGGGTTTGCCGATCTTGTGAGCAATGAGCATCATCCAATTCAACAGCAACAGGTTTCATCTTATCTTCCCCAGAAGTACATTATATTTTTCCTGCAGCTCGAAGATCTTCATGATTTCGGTCGTGTTTTGTTATCCTTGGCGACTGGTAATGTTTATGCTACTCGAAGAGATCAAGTGACCCAAAGCATGGTTTATATTGCAACTCATTACAGCGCGGATATGAAGAACTTGATAAAGTTTATCTTCAATTCTTGAAACATCTAAACTTCTACTTGCAGTTTCTTGCTTTCTCCGACGCCAGGTCGCAAATCCATCAATGAAATAATGCCTATGATTGGAGCTCGTTTTTATGGTCAACTCGAAGGAGCGCAGTTACGAAACGATGTTTTGGAGAACGAATTGAGCAAGGTTTGTTATTCTGAAAGAAAATGGTTGAGGTGTGCGAGATAAAGAGGTGAATTTGAAAATGCAACCACTGTGTAATCAATTGTTTGAAAAAATGAATGGTTCCGGCGTCCACGTCAGTATGCTAATTTGATTTATTCGTACCACTTGAGAAAATTCTTTTACAGGAACTCGAGAATGGCAGGCTGTTTCGATTGCTTTGTAAACTGAATACAATCGTTGAGAGACCTGAGTATTGGCTTTTTCTTCATATTTTATCTTATAACCTTGTTAAGGCATAACTTGGATATCCAATGGGCAGAAACAGGAGATCGATTTTTACTGAAACTTTTCAGAGATTATGTCTTTCATCAGGTCATGGAAAATGGGAAACCGTGGCTTGATATGGCTCACATCGTACATTGTTTGAATAAGGTTTGAGTTTTTTAAAATTACTTTTATCCTATTCTCTCGTTGCAGTTGGATGCTGGTGTTCCCGAAAAGATTGAGCTCGTATCCAGAGATGGCGATAATTTGATTATTGTTTCGTATGGTGATTTAAAAAGGTAGGGGACAACACTACACTTCGCTCACGAAGATGTATACTACAGGTGCATTGAAACAGCGTTCCGTGATCTCACTAATAGTACTATAGTACCAAGGCATTAGATTGACTTGATTTAGACTAAAATTTATGCTTCCTAATTTGTCATTAGAAACAGCGCCTACGGTGTTTCATTTTGAATTATCGGGTCTGAGCTTCCCAGATCGGGAATTTGTTTATTCGGTAGGTATTTTGCAATCGCACTTAGTTTTTTCTTCGAACAATTGAAAATCTAAACTATATCAGGCATATTGACGTACTTAAAATCTTAGATTCTAGTTGTTTACCGGTCCCTGTTAGTCTAACGTCGCAATTAACTTTTGACAATTCCATAACTCCTGATTATCTTTAACAAATCTATTTATGGAACATGTTGAGTTTTGATATGAACTAGGCTAGTTTATCATTTTTCAGACATCGTTAGCATTATAATTTGTGAAATTGTTTTATACACAAAGATTAGCTGAGTTGTGATTTGCATAATTCCATTAACTTTTTATTGTTTTATCATCATTGATATAATTCTTTCCAAAAATGCTGTTGCCAATGTTTTGATGTTGGTCTGATCTTGTTGTGTTTGTAGATTTGTTTTGATTATACCTGGTTTCTTACTTGTAATCACCAACCATATTATGTATAATTAACGTATAACTGATATAATGCCCATAAAAATTAATAAACTTTCTAAAATGCGAACCGCTTCTCGCTAGATGTGCTGTCAGAGCAGCTTCCTATTTATGGTATTACCAGATTTCTTTAATCAGTGGTATTCAGAACAGATGTCATGTTTTCTACGCAGAAATCTTCTGGCTAGACTGTTTCAAAGTTCTTATAAATGTGAGAGAGGATTGTTAGGTTGTCTCCGTCAATCTGCTCTGCCTAATACTCATCTTCTTCCAGCAGCCCGTTGCTACAGCAGCAATGAGACTGATTCTGAATACGAGGATGTTGCTGCCTTCATGAAACTACTGTAAGTCATTGTTGATCCTCTGAACCTAATTCGTATCGCAGTCGGCGAACGAGATACTTCAATGACAACTACTTAAAACCAGAATACCGTAGCTTTACTGTCTCGAGAAATTCCGAGCTCAAGATTGATCAGAAAGTCAGTTACTCACTCTATTCGAATCACGAAATGAAATTTAGGATATTATGGTTGGTGGAAGAAACAAAAATCCCGTCTACACTGGAGGGAATGACAACTCAAAGCCTTTATCCAAAGAAATAGCTTTCATGAAATGGATGTTCATGGTATACTTAGTTTTCTGCTGACGAGTGATATCAATACATTACAGAGACATATTGCTTTGAAACCCTTTGTAGCAGAACTTCCTAGTATCAAAGAACTATCTCAGGGCAGCAGAATGCTTTTCAAGAAAATACTGAATGCGACTATCACTGTTTGTGTTTTATTGCAATAGGGAAGTCTCAGCAGTTTCATTCTAGAATAGAATTGATGAGTTGGCTCCTTCTACATTAGGAGGTGTTTCTGTTTTGAAAGATTTGAAAAGTAGTGCGAGATCTCTGACAGAAATTCAAAGACGAGCTCTCCGAGTAGGTCTTACATTTAGCAATTGAGGAACGAGAATCATTTCAGCTAGTATCGGACGATGACATTGTTGGGCATGATGGGTTGATGCTCAATTATTGCGGGTACAGTATGCATCCAGGTGAGGCTTACTTGAACACTTTTGTATTTAGCCTTGTCTTCCAGATTCAATCAGTCGTTACATTCACTCGTTCGATATCGTTTCCAATGATGCTGTGGGAAAGAAGGAAGACGGAAAATACTTGTGCTATAGCGTTCAATTATTAGCAGTAGGAAAAAAGAAACAGTTGTACAAATTAGTAAGAGGGAGATCATATGAAAGCACGTAAAGAGTTCTTTCAGGTCAGATTACTACCTTATAAACATGATAGAGACCAGATGCTTGTATCTTTACCAAAAGATTACGGGTTCACTCAGCCTAGATATACTTTGATGAAAATATATTTCTGTCATAAAGTAAAGATCTTATCTCTTTTCCTCCTTAACAAATGTTCTCTTTCCAGATTAATGAAAATGGATTTATGGTATCGCTAGATGAGGATTGTATGCTATACGATTTCCATATCTTCAACTTTTAAAGAAAAAAAAGATAAAAGAAAATAAAATATTTTTTCCATTTTCCGACTAGCCTTGAACACGGGAAGGTTCCTATATATCATGTTGATGACAGTATCGATTGAACAGCGAAACGGCAAAGGTTGATTACCCGTTCCATACATATTCGCTGCGAGAATGTCGAGCAAGCGTGTTGCTATAATTGGTTATGGACACCTCGGTAAGACTTTCCTTTTGCTTCATATCCTATTTCTCGCATCTTTAGGGAAATTTCTCGCTACCAAATTATCAGAGAACGAAAGTTTCGAAGTAGTTCGCATTTTCAATAGGACTGGGGGAGATAACGTTCTGTCATTGGAAGAAATATCTTTTGAGACTTTGAAGTACTGTTGTCTGATTAAACTCATCGTCTCATTAATTATTCAGAGATGTTGATTTGGTTGTGGAAGTGGCTCACCCTGCTATTATCTCCAAATATGCTCCAATATTGCTAGAGCATTGTGATCTGTTTGTGAGTTCTTACTCAAATATTTCTTCCTGCAACCAATCTGTTTTTCAAAAGCTATCAAAGCAACCGTTCTATTTTGGTATCGACTAACAATGAATTGAAAATATGACTTTCACTTTTCATGGCAACATCGTTCTTATGCAAAACTGTTCAGATCGGCTCCCCGACTTGTCTCGCTAACGCTGAAGTACTGAGTAAAGTCGAAGAATTGGCCAAACAATATAAGAGAAGAGTACTGATACCATCTGGTGCTTTCTGGGGAGCCAATGATATACAGAAAATGGCAGACCTTGGAACACTCAAGGTATAACAGTATACATGTACACAAGAAACATAATTTGGTTTAAGGGATTGTCGGTGACAATGATCAAGCACCCTTCTTCGTTCAAGTTGGAGTCACCTTTGAAAGAAATAAATGAGAAAGCGAAAGAAAACGCTACTGAGCCTACTGTTCTTTATGAAGGTTTTTGAATCTTTTTATTTTTGCTACTGTTACCTCTTCAGGTTCCGTGCGTGGTCTCTGTCCATTAGCACCTAACAATGTAAACACTATGGCTGGTGCTGCTATTGCTGCCAAGAATCTTGGATTCGATGGTGTAACGGCTCGTTTGGTTTCGGATCCCAAGTAATCGTTACTTTTCATTTTTATTTCCAATTGACTACGCTATAGCATGCGTGATTGGCATATTGTTGAAGTAGTTGTGCAAGCGGATGATGGATTCGAAGTTAAAACAATTAGAAAGAATCCTGCAAAACCAGGAGCAGTTACTGGACAATTCACTTATTTTTCCTTCCTAGCAAGTATCAAAGGTATAATCTCTAATCTTTCTGACGTTGACGCTGATTTTCCAGAGAGTCTCTTCAAACCTATTGGGCTTCAGATCTGTTGAACATTTATTTACAGAAATCAAATAGATTGCGTTGATATTATTAGCAGATCCTGCTTACTCCATATGTCTTCTCCATTCGGTAGTAATGACTCTTGATGCATATGTTCCAATTCATTTGCATATTCTCTGAATGTTTGATCATTAATGGGGTCTACTTCGTATGGCTCTGGCTGCAAAATAAAAGTTTTCGTATGGTTTCGACTGTTCTACACTACTTGATCATCATCAGTTGGGGCCTCATCTTCGTCTGTGAGATTTCTGGTGTATAACCTCTGCTGAAGTTCTTCAAGCACGCGTTCCATCTGCTCGCTTTTTAACCTCTCTTCCTCCAGCATTCTGAACGGGGTTGCAAGTTATGAAATATTATATAAGCTTGTTTTTCAAATAGTTTCTATTGTCGAAAACATATGAGAAATAGGAGAGTGTAATAGATTTATATACCTCGTCGCTAATCCTCTTACTATTTCCTCGTCTTTCAAAGCTTGTCTCTCTTCCTCCAGTGCTCGTTCCAGCTTCAACTTTTCTTTTTCTAATCTTTCCCGCTTTTCTGCCTCCAATTCGACTTCTTGACCTTTAATTGCGAATAACAATTGGCTATCGTGGTTGAAATACCATGGTAATGACTTGCAGTTCGTTTATCAACTCGTGTCAGTTCTTCAGCTGTTAAGACAGTTAACGATAATTGAAGTGCTGAAGTTATTGAAGATAAACAATTTTTATTACGAAGCGGGCTGTATGTTGTGAATAAAGCAACGAACCTTTCTCTAGTAAGCGACATGAATTCAAATCGTAATGAGCAAATTCAAATGTCTTGGAATTGCCTTCAACACCGGTTATGAACATGCTGTCTTCTTGGTACAAGTTCTGAAACAGTCATTTGAGCTTTTATTTGTTTTGAATGGCATACTTTTAATGTGTAAGACCTATCAAGGGTGATTTCAATCTTTTGGCCCATGCTGTTTCGTTTCAACTTTTGTAAAACGACGAGGCCAGGCTCGACAGAAATCCAAACGTTACTCCATCGGTTCAAGCGCGTGAAGCAACCTATCTTCCCAGCGGATTTACAGCGGAATCGGATAAAACCCTGAAAAGTTATGAATCAGAGAACTCCATATTGATCGTAGAGTTTGTTAGATACTTAAGGAACCATTGAAAATAGTTAAAACAGTATGGCCTAGGTTTTTGTTTGAACGGGGAGTGACTAGTTCAGATCAAAAGCAATGATCACACATTTCGATTTGTGTCAACAATGCCAATGAGCTGAGGAGGTTTAACAGATTGGAGAGCAGAAGTTAGGAAAACTTTACCTTATTTATAACTTGGTTTAAGTAACGATCAAACAAAGCATCGATTGTACATTCTAATTCCTTAGTATCATCAGCAAATAAGTTTTCCAATAAAGATAATAATTCCCTAGAAAGGTTGGTTACGGGGTTTACTTCTTAAAAATGTCGAAACCTGTAGGAGACATCTTCTCCATTGAAAGCAAAGTGTTTGGATGTGGATGGGTACCCGGCTAAGCGTTGTATCTCCTCTATAAGGAATGTGGCTTGATGAGCTGTTAGTTCTGTGGATTGTTCACATAGCCAACAATAGAATTGGTATAACTTTTGATTGAAAGGCTCCCTTATATGATGAGTTATAGACATCTGAATGTACTAACTTGAATAAGGTGAAGAAATGACTAAGACTAAGTAAATGCCGAGCACACTGAGCAGTTTGTCTACTGGTTCCAGAGCGGAACTTAAGAATTTAAAACACAATTGCAGACATGAATGAAAAAAAAATGAAAGGCAGCCGCAAGAAAAATGAGAGAAAGAGGTAAATTCAAATTCCGTGCTGCGTGAAATATATCAGAAGGAAACAGATAATGGTGGGGGAGGAGTGAAGTTTAAAAGGTAGAGAGACGTTTTCTTCCATGTCATGCTTTCACAAGATGAGCTGACTTAATGTTTTGGTTGTAACAAAATGACACGCATAGCTTCAAGGTGTAGAAAAGAGAGAGAGAGGAAGGAAATGGAGACTAAAAAGATAATATCTGAAAAAGAAGAAAAGAAAACAGATTTAGAGTAATATTAAGGTGAGTGAGGAGAGAGGGAAGAACAGAGACGAAAAGCAGAGATAAGAAAGGTAGTGGCTCAACAGCTGCCCCTCCACTAGAAGTTTGATCAGAGAATAAAGAAGATGAGAAGATCGACGATGAGCGATGAAATGCTGAGCTGAATAGCATGGAATTCGATTATCAATCTGAGACTTGTCACTCTATCAAAAACACAAACTCAGTGATCACTAGGAAGAAGTAAAAACCTGATCGACAGGATTTTTCGCTCCGCCCTTCTTCTAATGCTGGTGTTCCACCTGTTTTTGTGCTCATTTTCAAAGCATGTGAATCGTTTTCTTTTCTTGGAATTGAGATCAGAAGGTTGTTTAAGAAGGCAACAGCTCCACGTAAGTGAAGAAAAGTGCATCCGTCAAGCAACTGACTAACTAACCACACCTTCATCGGAAAGTTCTCTGTACAATCACACTTAACCAGGCATTGTTTGTCTTTTGCATCCCATTCTTCTTCACACAGTCGTACTTCTTTTCAATCATCTTCCTTCCAAAACCTCCCCATTGTTGAAGATGAAATTCCGTAATTTAAATGAAACAGAAGCCTTTTTTCATTTTTTTCTCCTGGCAAGACGTGAATCTCGTATGATTTGGAATGTTCATTGTACATTTTCATTGGAAATATTATCAGTGAGAGGAATAGAAATAAATAAAAGAAGAAAAGAAAGAGAGGGAAAGAACGTGAGTGAATGAATGTTTTTACGCGATCTTTTCAGAAAGACGGCTTATAATAAAAACAAAAGCGCCTGAGAATCCTAGAAAAAACAGTTATCAAAGTAACTAATCATAAAGGAGAAAGTAGAAAGAAGGGATTAACAATAGAAAGGAAGAAGAGAAAAGCTGTTAGGAAACAAACAATGAAAAGTTCATGGAGATGTGAAGGCGCCCATCCCTCGTCTACCACCCGTAGGTTGCGGTAACGAAAACGTGATTCCCATGCGATCTAAGATAGCTCCCAATGATTTCTTAGGTAT